ACATTATATTAGTTTTTTTAATGACAATACTATTTTTTTTATAATGTGATTTAGCATATATGAAATTTAATTCTTTGTTTTTTTGGAGATACTTGATTATCTTTTATTTTTAATTTTTTATTATGAATTATTAAAAATTATTCAAAACCGATGTATTGTTATCCCATCTCCTCTAACTTTTTCTTACTATTTTTCATTTGCACTATGTACCTCTTGATTCTTCTATTTAAAATAATATTGAAAATATTTTGGTTGCATTTAGTACTTTTTTTATGATAAATATTATATCTGAATTATTTCCTCTGTTCATGCTTATTAAATAAATTTTATATTTTTTAAGTTAATGCAATAGAAAAAACACAAAATGGCCATCCTTCATTAATAAGCATCTATTTTATTAAGCATAATTTATCACTCTCACATTCAAGTCATTATTTCCCTTAAGCAACAAAAAGCACTAACCCAATAAAAAGCGTACATATTTTTATTTATGATAATTTGTCCCTCTCACTCAAGTTTCTATTTTTTGTGTCTATTTTTAATGGGAAACACGTGGGTTAATAAAACAAATTATTATTTTTCATGTCTATTTTTAATGGGAATCATGCGGGTTAAGGAAAAAATGTGTTAATCTCATCTCTCATCCCTAAATCTCTCACTCACTCTTTTTTTCGGTATAGGTAGCAGTCTCTTTTTCCTTAAATCTCTCTCCCCTCTCTTATTCTTGATCAATATATATAAATTCTTATCACATTTTTGTTTATAATAAGGTTAATACTTATTGAGTATGCCTTAAGAGACTAATTTGTTAGATATAGATATTAATAGGATCTAATGTCTTAAACTAATATATTGGATTAGCTTTAGTAGGATCCTGCACAAATTTATTTATTAGTTTTATTTATTTAAGTCATGTTTATTTTTTTAATTATATGTTAAATGGATATGTGTTAATTAATAATATATTAAAAATAAATTTTACTATCATATTTATTATTAATTAATAAAATATTCAATTGTGAAGATAAATGCACTAAATTTTCTTTAGTATACCATGTTTTATTGAAATTTTTTTAGTGATAAATATATTTCAATGATTAATATTAATTATCACGTGCAAGGCCTGTGCATTTTACTAGTATGTATTATGTGTCATATTTTTGTATTGTCATATTATCTAATTTTGTAATAATATGTATTTATAATTAAAAATAGTTTTAATTATCGCTCTTTCTTTAAATCTCTCCTTCCATATTGATTTTTCTCCCATTCTCTCTCTCTCCCTCTCTTTCCCTCTTTTCTTCTTGATAGATATGGAAAGTGAAGATTATATTTTATATCTCTCTCATGTCTCTCTCCACACTATCTCTCTTTCTCTCTCTCACGTCCTCTCTCTCTCTCTGATTCGCAGGGAAACATAAGGTAAATAATTACATAGCATTATCAATTAATTATCAGTATATGAATTAAATGTTACTTATTATGTTTTGATCCTATAGTGATAAATATATCAATTTAGTGATAAATAATGAAAACTTTATATTTTAATATTTTATATCAATTAATAGTATCGGTCAAAAATAATTAACATGAATATAATTAATTAATTTTTTCAATTAAAAACAACCTAATAATCGAATAATACCTTTTCGAAAATGTTATTTCAAAAGGAAAATGTATTCCATTATAATTAAATCAGATCAAGTGCAATACGTGTACATAACTCTCGTATGTTTTAGTAATAGTTAAGGAGTGAGCATGTGTCCAAAAATAAAAAATAGACATTCCCACGATATCGTGTTAAGGAAAGGAGCCACAGAACGCATCTTTTGTCGGAGATCAAGTAGAACATACCATATTTAAGAGAAGAGAGAGATTACAAGAAATTATGGTTACTGTAGAACTTGAATACAATATTTTCCTTGCTAATTTGTGCTGAAATTTAGTATGCCTAGATTATGTTGTTATGGTGGTTAAGATAGAATTTTCAATAAAAGACCAACCTTATGAGCACGGCACCCTGAATAAAATAGAGAAGGATATTAACGAATGCAAAAGGAGAGAAAGGGAAAGGATGTATTAAAGGAGATGAGGGAGAAATGGAGAAAGAATAGGAGAGAGATGGAAGATTCACGCATGCCAAAGGACAGAGAAAGAGCTTACTAAAAAGGGCATAAGAGAGAAAGAGCTTATAAAAAATTGGGGTTGAGTAAACGGTATCATGCAATTTAATTCATCAGGCATGGAAAATATATGGCCTCTATTTATTATTTTTAACGTAACTCATTTTTTTTTATTGGGTGCAGTTGGCATATGGATGCATCCCTATTTGTATAGGTCAGGTGCACCTTCAAATTTATCATGGTATATAATTTTGATGTAAAATGTTTTTAAGATTATCTCAAAATCTATTTTTATATCTAATTATAAAATTTTAAATTTAAAGAATGGTTAAAATCAGATAGATCTATAAACATATGAAAATCTTGAAAATGTCTTGTAAAATGCACTATTTCTGAGACTTGAAATCTTTTTACTTTTCATGGTCATACATCTCGATGTCAAGATGATCAATCAAAGGGTGTTTCAACATTAAAACTACCTTTTCTCATAGATTTTTGAGGTGCATCCGTAGTTCTACATTATAAGGTTGAATCATTCTATAAACTTTTTCTTTTTTGTTATTATGGTAACTCCATTATCACTCTTTTAAAATCTCGTGCCGTGAATCTAGCCATCCCTATCCTAAAATATGTATGTGCCATTCCCTCCTCAAAACCCATTCTCTATCTACTAAAATTAGTGTGGGTTTCTTCAATCTTGAAGCATTCTAATAGGCAACCACTCGTTTATGGTCGATTCTGGCTTCTGCCATTTTTTGTGACCAACTCAGTAATTTTATAAAAAAGTAAAAACTATTATATAAAATCTAAAAAATAAGAGATTTTTGTTTGTAACGTGTTTTTTTAATGTTTTTCATCATTATGGCAAATACTAAATTTTTTTTTAACCACTAATAGTTATTATTACATTTTTCCATCTTTGTTTTTAAAATTTCAAAAATACCCTTGAGCACAAATCAATTCTTTAAAATTTATTTTTTGGGTTAATTTCCAACTTCATTTGGACGTGCTTTGTTTAATTATTTTTAAATATACTTTTCATATTCTACTAGATGTTTCTGTATTTCTTATTTTTTTTAACACTTGTTTGACTGCCCGGGACTTATCCGGTTAGAACGGTCGAATCGGCTGGTTTACCGGTTAGTCCAATTGAACCGCTTCCGAGCCCATGTCTGATTAACTGTTTTGGTTTGATTTTTCCTACACTACTTCGCCTTTAGAATGATTGTGCAGGTATTACAGACGAGTTCATCCATAAAGGTGAATTGTTGTATTTTCCATTCTTTTATTTTTTATATTTATTACTTCATTTGAATTTCATATCAAGGTTTACAGTTAGTTATTTTTATTTCTTTGTGGGTTATGGGTTATCTTTTTTTCTTTTATCTTTTTCATATCCCAAAATTTTGTAAAAGCGTAAAAGGCTATAAGCAACACGACCTCTACTGATTTCTGTGTTCGACGTTACTATTGCTTTTGAATTTGTATATTTTCCATGCTCCCCAGTCGTTTCTTTGTAAACAATGAACTCATTTTGACATTGTGTGCTGTATATTTTTGTCTAACACCTAACGATATTCTTTTTATGTGTATGTGCTGTAGAACCTTCACTCTCTGCTGCTGGTACGTGGTATCTTTGTTTGCTGTATTTTCATGTACGTTTTCTCTTGATTGACTTTCATAGGTCTTTGTTTAGTTTTGTAGTTTTTGGTTTATGATAAAGAATATCGGTTTATTGTATCTAGAGTGTTATAGGTTTTCTTTCATGTGGATCTGCAATCGTTTTTGGTTCAGATTTGTAATATGTCTTTTCAAATTTGTTATTTGTAACTCATTTATTTGATTGTGAAAAAAGTGTGGTTTGTAAAAAATCGTGGCTCTAAACAATCAGTAAAACCCACTTTCAAATAGTATAGAGAAATGTGGTTTCAATAATAGAAATATTTGTGATAGCCTTAAAATATATTTTCTTTAAAGCTTCAAAAATAATATAAATCGAACAGATCTATGAAAACTTAGAAAATCTTGAAAATTGACGGTCCAAAAATACACTACAAGATGCACTATTTCTAAAACTCGAAATCCCCCATTGTTTTTTTTTTTTTAATCATTTCCATGCATCTTGATGTCGAGATGATCGATTTGAAGATATTTGAGCATCAAAACCACCTCTTCTAGTAAAATTTTTGAGGCGGGCTCTAATTTGATTATTTAAAACCTCGGTTCTATATAAAATTTTTCCTTAAAAAGAATACTGTAAGAATATTCTTACAAAAAATATATAATGGTTCATATATTAATTATGTTCTTAATTTAAATTTCTTTAGTACTGTAACTTCTATTACTGGCAAGACTCAAATCTGTTTAATAATGTTTAAAGAGTATGGTATCAACATCTATGGATCTCATTCGTGACTGTATGTTTGTGAGTGAGAAACCAAATGAAAAGTGTAAAAAGCTATGAAGATGGTTGCAGCCTCAAAGCTTCGAGCTATTCAAACAAAGGCAAAAAACTCACGGGGCCTCTGGCAACCATTTATAGTGGGGATTATCCAAGCATGTACCATTTGTTATAGCTTATGATATTGTAAGAGAATGATCATATTTTTACTCTTGAAGCAGCAGTAGTATTAATAAAGTAATAAAATAGGATTTTCAATGTTTTCATTGTTTGTCGTAATATTGAATAATCTACTATTCAAATACATTACATTTTCTATTATTTGAACTCATTTATATGTCGACAACTATTTAATATTTCATATTTCATATATGAAATTGCTATTGCTACTTATATCTGTTAACAAGTACAAACTATGCACAAATTTACATCCTTTTTAAAATATTCATCTATTAAAATGATGCATAGATCACCTATCACAAAATCACGTGTTCATTTCATGATAACAAAGAAATCATCAATTATGTATTTATATGATTATTTACATGAATGCTCATTCTATTCTAAGTACAACGCATGTAATATAACTAGTTTTACATTAATGTGTTAACTTTTACCGATTGCTAAGAAGCCCTTAGAGAATACTAGAGCCAATGAACGCTTCAATTCCTTAGGAAGAAACCACCGGAAAGGTGAGACTCTGCTCCATGGCTGCCCACAGGGATGCGGATTGGACAGGGTGACAGAAAGCCCGTTCACTCGAAAGGAATTCTAAAATAACAACACACAAGAAGGTACACACAAGAAGCCCATCTCGATTCAACTTGGGCTGAATCCTGAGACAAAATCCCAGAAAGGTATTGGGGAATGGGACAGGGGCATTGATGGTTGGGGCCTGATTGCTCAACATAACATCCCACCATCCATTCCCACCATTAACATAAAAAAAAAAAAAAAATTGACCCTAAACCCTATTGTCCTGCTCTTCAACACCTAAAAGAACGGTAGAAAAGAATTATAAAATGACAACAAAGAAAGTGGTACACACAAGAATCTCTATCTCAACTGATTCAACTTGGATTGAATATTGAGACAGAATCCAGAAAGGTGTTGTCCCTATATTCTACTGTCCTTTTCTTCAACAACCACCTCCTCAATGTTGCACACCCTGAGATCAAAGCAGACGTCAAGGAAGAAGAACATGAAAACCAACACTACACACGAGAGGAACATTGGAATGGGCCCAAACATCCACAAGAAGAGGGGGAAAGAGAAGTAGAATGCCCTCAGCCCCAGTGACCAAAACAAGCTCCCCCTGTTGAGGGCCCGCCCCACATACTCGGGCGTGAGTGGCGCTGATTGTGGGCACGCGTTGAGCGGTACGTTGATCAGAATGCTTGCATGCGAATAATACCTGATGCATGCACCACAAAACCCCTCTTCAATACCATAAAAACGAAAAGAATGGAGCAAATAACTCTTTCTATAAGAGGTTCTATGCCATATCCTACACATGTTTCTGAATTTCTTTAAGGGACTGTACATTATACATGTGTTTGTGTAGTGTAAGGTACACAAACCGGCTATCCATGGACCATCCTCACAATGGACAGTGGAGATGAGACCTTAATGGACATAAAACTGGGGCAGTAGCTCCTCTCTGACGCAAATTATTGAAAATAGACAGTGTATCACCATGGATGGCCAGATTGTGTATCGCATAATATTGTACATACTTTTATCTATAATTTATCGCCACAATCCTCCTATGCAAGTCAGTTTTACCTGGACCGAAACCAGTTTGATCTAATGAACCCGAGTCCTAAAAGGATCAGCTTTTTAACATATATTTATAAAGTTTTGAGAAATTTTAGGATTTTCTCTAGTTTGTTCAACCAGTCATTACCACTAATAGAACCTATCATTGCTACTAATAAAACCGATGCAGAAACTTCTCAGCTTTGATGTTGAGCCCGGATAATAACCAATCCAATACATGCAGCATGGAGTACTTCAACCATGTAGTACTTCAGTGCCCGATACAACATTCATACGATTGCTTGTATCGGCACCAAACCAAAAATTGATCATATGAGCCAACGGGCATATAGCCTAAACACATGGAGGTAATTAGCAGCAGAGATGCGCTACAGCCTCACTTTTACATCCATTAAAGTCTCATAGCAATTGTCCATCATGACGATGATTCACATATAGCCGATTTGTGTACCCTATTATGAATTATACCACAGAAACGGCATGTATAACACACACGGGCAAAGTCTAAAACTACCTATGGACAAAGCACTACAATATTTCGCTCATAGCTCCCAATGGAGTGTGTATTAGTACATGAATTTTAATTCATTTTTCTTCTAAATTGGATTGAGT